CATATATATATATATATATATATATACCTATAATATACTCGTAAACTTCGCAGCAGACATTTGGGACACGCTTCAGATCCACGATTATCATCAACACGATGCCGATAAATGATTAAGCACCTGTGAGATCAATGCAGTAATTACGTAAAAGAACCCCAGCAGCCGTAGTTCGCGTGTGGGCGGTTCGCCCGATGGTGGATTCAAGGCAATCATCTATATCCAGCATTCGCAGTTAATGCCATGCACCTAGGGAGCAGTAGCAGCATGCAGCAGTAGCAGCAGTAGTAGCAGCAGCAGCAGCAGCAGTAGTAGCAGCAGTAGCAGTAGCAGCATGCAGCAGTAGCAGCAGTAGTAGCAGCAGCAGCAGCAGCAGTAGTAGCAGCAGTAGCAGTAGCAGCATGCAGCAGTAGCAGCAGTAGTAGCAGCAGCAGCAGCAGCAGTAGTAGCAGCAGTAGCAGTAGCAGCATGCAGCAGTAGCAGCAGTAGTAGCAGGATTATAATGTGTGGCGGTACTTTTCTATACTCGTATAGTATATTTTCTTATAGTGTTGATGATGGGGCGTTAGTTACTTTGCGGTGTGGCTGCGCGCACGGGTCATGGTATCAGACTATCGAGTCTAAAAGTTCATGTCGAGGAGGCGGTGTAATATCCGACCGTGATACGACAGAGCTAGCAGCGCGACCTGTGCCGACGAAGCGCGTGCGATAGCTTGCGAGAGACTCGTGTGTGCTGACTGCGATCCGATCCCCGCCTCACGTCGACTATAGCTACTGCTTATTGCTGCCGGAACGTATGCTTAGGCTATTAGTATACAGCGTGCTGCGCCGCACGCGACGCACACACAGCGAGAGATATAATATATATATCATATATGTATATATACATATATTCTATGCTGTTACTATGCTATGTTATGTCCCGCACGCCAATCCGCACGCACCGCGACGCACCGCACCGCACCGCCCGCACGCCGCACGCGCCACACCACCACACCTCACCACACCACACACACACGACCACACCACATCACACCACAACCAACACTCCACACACCAACCAACACACGCAAACACCACCACCACACCACGCCACACCACACCAGCGCCACCACGGCCACGCCCGCCACGCACGCCACAGCCGCACCACACCACACCACACTACACACCGCAATACCATTACCGATACATACTAATATATATATATATAATATTATATATATCAATATTATATATTTGCTCATGTATAGGATAGTATCCCCATCGTCAGAGTATTAGGAGCAAGCAGGACGATGAGTTTCGAACACGCCATAACAAGCCCGCGGATGAAATATATTAACTTACGGCGGTCCCTGCCGATGAGATATATAGTATATTCGTATATAGTAACAAGCAAGAAGTCAAAGGAAACAGGACATAAACACCGTGGCAGCATAAAAACCACAGGATCGAGGATGTATATAGTCAATTACACCGCCCGAAGAATTTTTTCCTTCTCTTTCTTCTCTCAAATATGTTTACACTTCTCCCGTGAAATGTTTCGTGATGTTTGTTTTTCATTTTGTCACCCCTGTGCGGTTTGGTCTCCTGATTCGGGCAGGATGGTCTGGCAAGTGAGTAAGACACATCGTACAAGCTAGCAATGTCCATCGGCGTGAGTAACCTGTGTATTATAATATAGTGGTGGCAGGAGATAAATAATATCTAATTTTAGATTATTTTACTCCACTGGTCGGGTAACACCAATGTGCGGAAAGTAACAGTGCTGTAGAAGTAGGTTGGTCAACTGTGTTACTTTACTAGCTAATTTCTAACTAAAAAGTTAGGTCGCAAGTTAGTAATGGACGGTTATTCTATTAAAAATACCTAGCTGCTAGCACTGGCAAAGGGTACTAAAAGTGCAGAAACGATCCAACGGTCTAACTAAACTCTTAATGTGTAAACAATATAAATGTCGAGCAGCGACATACGGACACCCGCGAAGGAACTATTTTCGATTCAACAGTAAAGACTTAGAATTGTATCGGTCATCTCTAAGTTTAATCAAAAGCCACATACTGTGCAAGCTTTCACCAGCTATGCCAGGCTAAGGGCTATTAGCTAACGCGTTCATCGGCACTAGAAGAAGTTTTACGACATAAAGAGCGCACCCGTATCTCTCTCTTTCTACTCTCGCTCTCATCTCTTCTCTCTCTCTGTCTCTCTTCTATCTCTATATAATTAATATATATATATATATTAATATATCAATATATATTATATATATTATATACCATACAAAAGTATATAGAACTTTTAAACATCGATTTGGCCCATCGCCTTCGTAGAGAAGTTTTGCGTGTGGCGCGCGTAGGTGTTCGTTGTGCAGTGGCGTGCGCGTGTGTGCGCGTCGGTGCGTGTTGTGTGGCGTGTGCGGGTAGTCATGGGTGGTGGTTTACTCTTCGCCGTCTTTTATACTTCGCAGTACACGAGGCATTCTCTCAGCCACTCATAGCCATCAGGCTATATTTACAGCTGCCAGCACAACAACAGACCTTCCAAGGCTGGGGGGGCGGAATTCCACCTCTGGGGGGGGGGGGGGGGGGGGGGGGGGGGGGGGATGGTATGGGGCGAGAGGTGGAGGCGGGAGAGAGCGCGGCGCGGCGCGGCTGGGGGGGAGGTGGGGGGAGAGAGGCTTGGGAGCGGAGAGAAGGGTTTCCAATGAAGTAGCTTGGCAGTCGGCTCAGAGTCGATTAAGTGAGCATGTTCAGCAGCATTCCCTGCCGTGGCGCCGTCGCTCTCTTTCCCACCGCTCTCTCAGTCTCACGCTAGCTCTCTCTGTGCTTGCTCTCTCGCTCGGTTAGTGACTGCAGCCTGGCTGTCCGCAAGTCATGAGGGGAGTGACAGCTAGTCGAGTGGGCCGGGCTTCATGCTCAGCAAGACGAGACTAGGGCGGCTCTGCCAGTAAGCAGAGACACTGGTGGTGTTGTGGACCGATGATCGTTTGCTGTGCTCCTGTTGGCTGTCACCAGACACCGTTGTGCTTATCTCGTGTCGTTGGGTTTGTGCTGAGGGGGGACGCTTCTCAAACTTTCGGGATGCAAGTACACCACCGTGCGTGCGTGACGTGCGTGTGAGTGTTGCGTGCGTTCGTGCGTCGTGCGTGGTTGCGTGTGGGTTGTGCGGTGTGGCGGTGTGGCGGTGTCGTGTGACGTAGTGCGTTGTGCGTGTGCGCGTATGTTTTGCGTGTATTGGCCTCCCCCCCCTCAATCAGGCCCGCCTCGTCTGTGCGTAGCGATGGGGTGCGGTGTTAGTTGTGTTTGTGTTGGTGCTGTTGTGGGTTGTTGGGAGGGGGAATTGACCCTCTATGAGCTAATATTTACATTTTCAAATGTTGACTTGACACAGTAATTGGGATGGCTCTCTAGAGTGGTATAGAATTCCAATGTATATTGATGCAGTCTGTCCCAGTGGTCACTGCGTTTGTACATCAGCGTTGTAGCAGAGGAATTCCTCCGTGAACATCTGTTTCCTGTGTGCCCGTAGCGCGCCGTGTAGTGTGGTGATGTGGTGCGTGCATGCGTCGGTGCGGTGCGTGCGTGGGTGCGTGCTTTGCGTGCGTGCGTGCGTGTGCGTAGGCGTGCGTGTGCGTCGCGGGATTGAATTTATGTCATGCAGGGTAATTAGAAGAAGCGAACCTGTGCTGAGGCCTGAGGAAATGACGAACGGGTAGCAACACTGACTTATTAGGGAGCGTTTGTTTACGCTGTAAACTCTTTTCTTTTCTCCATCCCCTCCTCCCCCCTGCCTCTGGGTGTGTGTGTGTGTGGTGTGTGTGTGTGGGCCGTTGTGTGTGTGTAGGTGTGTGGCCGTCTCGTGTGTGGAAATACACCCCGGCGCACCTCCGCGCCGAGATACCGCTCATTATGACTATGACCCCGGCATTAGAACGTGTAGTGCCTATGTCGTGGT